CTTTTAGCGGGAATGAATCCTATGATCTGAAACACCTAACTGACTTTATCACCATGTCACTCAGATGCATGAAGCAATATGGCCTGCTTGGCCTTCAGATTACATATTTTACCATATTTACAGCATTTATTTTTTTATAAGATGTCTAACATACAGTATCACCTTCTTCAGGTGCAGTTTCCAAGTTAGCTAAATGTAACAATGTGAGATATACTGTACAATCTGGGGTGCGTTTCCCAAAACCATAGTTGCTAACTACGTTAGCGACTTGCGTGGTCTGAACTATGTAAGTACGACGCAGGTGTTTCCCGAAACCATAGTTTGCAAACACTGTCGTTAAGTTGTGTAGTTCGAACTAAAGTTCTCGAGCTGTAGTTAGAAGCTTAGTTCCAGGTAACTACGTCAGTGATGGTGGAGAATGCAGTCTAATAAGGGTATAGTCACCGGGTAAGTAAGAAATGCAATAATCTTTAATACCTAATAAGGAATAATTTAGCTCTACGATCACATATAATGTGAAGTTGTCTGAAAATGTAGTTTGAAACATAATTGTTGTGGTGGTCTCTGGTCATAAGTACGGTATGATTGTACATTAGATCGACCAAGTCGGCAACTGTCTGTAGTGAGCAATAGGGAGAATTTTCAGGCTGCAAAGTATTGTATTAGCACAGGGGTGGCTAATATTATCCAGAAAGGGCCGTCAAGCATGCAGCTTTTCGCTGCAAATCCCTACTTAGAGTAGTACGTTGAGGACTGATCGACTGGAGAGTTCGCACACAACTGATCAAACGGTTATCCCAAAAATACCTGCAAACACATCGGCCCTTTCTGGATAAGATTGCCCACCCCTGTAGTAGCATATGCAGTTAGTGTGTATTGCTTGGTAAAGGATGTTGTGTACCCAGTGGTCATTGTGCCATATGGTACACTTCGCCACATATAATAAAAAATAAATAGAGAAATAATAAAAAAACATTAATAAAATAAAAAGAAAAGAATAAAACCCAATAATAATAATAGTACTACTACTACTACTACTACTAATAATAATAATAATAATAATAATAATAATAATAATAATAAATCATTATCCCTTGTATGTGTACATGTGTGTATTTGTAGCCCTATGCAGTCCATTGGGTGTTGTGCAGTTTCTTCATTACACACATAACTTCAGAGGGACAACAGTCGCCTTAGAAAAGAGTACAGCACTTTGATGAAGTACTCCTTATTCACTGACAGCTGTCATTGCCATAATGGAAGAGTAGAATGACACTACAGCGGTCGGATACGAATCCATGCCTTTGTACTCGGGAAATGACGTCTGTAATGTTTGGATATTACACGCACCTGTCTTTTCCAGTCAGCTACTAACATTCTGTAAGCGACAACGTCAGACCAGGAATTTGTGAGTGTTCGTAGTGTGACTGAAACACAATGAACTGCAATCAATGTAATTACAGATGGAGCATCTTTCACAAAATGCAGTGTCATAGCTAAAAGTTCTGTTTACCACTTCAAGACGTGTCTCATTATTTTACTGCTATAGCTATTTCTGAGTTTTTCATATTATTGGTGTTATGTGACTGACACAATAAATTGCGATATATGTGATTATTAAATATTTCTATGATATTACATAGTTCGCGAGTTTTTGTACGCGACCGGCTGTGAAAGTACTTTGTTAGTTGTTGCGCATGACTCACCGTGAGTCTGACCAATCAGTGCTGGAACCATTGTAGTTCGAACTACGGAAGTCCCAACGTGGTTCAAACTACCGTGGTACGACGGTTTTGGGAAACAGTCGTACTTCGGATATTGGTTAGTTTGATTCATCTTAGTACGATGCATCGTTAATGCTAACTTCCGTCGTTGTTTGGGAAACGCACTCCTGGGTGTATTTAACTGTTGAAGTGTTTTCTTGTTTTGGTGGCTGTTGACTAGGGTCGACCAGGTAATCCATGTCATGGGGGACACTATGAGCTAGGACAGGGTTTGTAAACTACCATCTCAATTTAAAGGACCTGGATTTCACTTTTGCACTTGAGTTCTTGCTGTGTGCTGATTGGTCAGTGTCCTATAATCATGCATGTGTCACTAATGTTAATGTGAAACAGTTTCAATCAAGGAAACAAACCAGTAAAAGCATGATAAGACCTGAACTAATTAGCCACAGGAGCCTTTCAGTTTTAAAGTAGATTGTAAAACCTGAAGCAGCTCATAGTGCCCCCTCTGACATGGATTAGATAGTCACTCTACTTTTAGCCCAGGCTGACCCCTGATAATCTGTGGGTTTATCAACCTTGGGAACAAGAGAAGCTGAACCTGACTAGGCATGATCATGACTGTGTCAGTCCATGGTGCCTGCAAAGCAAGGTCCTACACGGACAGAGGATCAATTTATATATATATATATATCTCCTGGGAAGCATGGATGATGGATGGGATATACACATGGGATATACACAGCATTTTAACCACATAGTCACATAACACCTTCACAATGATTTCATTTCTAATTTAGACTTTCCTACTGAATTAATAACATGGTAAATCATGATGATAAAAATCCTGGCTGGAAACAGAGGAGGAAGAAAAAAAGACACTAACACTTCATGTGAAGTGTATATGTGTGTGGGTGTATGTTAGGAGTTCTGCCATAAGACCTTAAGAGTTGCAGTTAGCTTTACTTGTGCTGCTGGGTAGTTATGGCACTTAAGTTCTCATATCAAATATTTCAGAACCTTAGAATTGGAATTTTAAAATGCTTAGAACACATTTTAGAATGTGGATATTTCATAATGCTTTATGAATGCAATTAATGCCCTTACGAGTTCAAGCATGTTCTTCATAAAGCCGCGAAGTCTTACAAGGAAGAAACTGCAAAAGGCAAGATTAGAGCTACGTCATAATTTGATGAAATGTAGAAGAAGCAGGTCAGGGAAAGACCATTATCTACCGCAGCATTTGCAAAGGAGGGTGTCAAGCAGCTGGTGGACTATAGATACGAGGGCACAGGGACGTTACCTCCAAGAAAGCCAGTGGTGACTGCTGCTTTGGGGGGGCTGGTGCCCAGGGGCACCAGCTGGAATGGGGAGGCTGGATGTGGGGGCATTTTGGGTGGGTCTTCTGGCGAGCAAAAACGGCACAACAGAAAAACAGAAGAGACACGACACAAAGGCACAAATAAAAGATGAATAGTGCATTGGGGAAAAAAAACAAAAATGAAAAAATCAAATCTGCATTAATGCAAAACAAATCAAAACATTATGATGACTAAACAGAAATGTAAATGACAGTTGATGGAAAGACATAAATCTAACATTATTCAAACTGGTAACTAAAATAAACATGAATCATCAAATATAAGCCAGTGTCCTCTTTACTTGATACCGATTGCCTAATTTCAGTTTAAAGTCAGACACAAAAACTTTCTGAATGCAGTTTTAAGCTTCACTAATGAGGCCAAAATCAAATGCTAATTTAAATCTGAACTTCTAATGGATCTCATTTGAAAACACAGTTGGCTGTATTGAGTGTATAATCAAAAATCAAAAATTCAATCTGTGCTCACACACAAGGACAAGGCCTTTAGAGTTTCGGTGGTACAGGTGGGATGGTGTCACCTGTGTTATTTAGTTATCACTATATTCCATGCACCAAAAAGAACAAGTACATTTTGAAAGAACAGCAATAGACCTGAGTATTTCAAATTGGATTGCTAATTATATTTCTCTCAGCTGTTCATCAGGAGGAGAACAACAAGTTCCGGAACCTTCTGTTCCGAAGTGCAGAGGTGGTCGGCCAGAACATTTCAAATACAAGTTCATTAAATTAAATTTTAAAATTTTCTGAACTTCATAGCCCCCAGTGACTCCTACCTGACTCAAATTTTAAAAAGCGGGTAATGACAGAATATGATAAAACTCGACAAGTTCACTACATTGGGTAACTTTAAGCATTTAATTCAAGTTTTATTCTAAGCTGCAAATTAAATGTTGTAGGTTCCTGCCTGTACTGGTTTTTACAAGTAATTTAGCATTTCTGTTTTGAAGGTGATACTGTAAAAGAACAGATGAGCTGTGTTTCGGCTTGGCTGACCCCCAGGTCTTCCGTGACACTGGAATCTTGAAGGGTCTTACCTTATAAGACTAACATCAGATAAAGTTGAAAAAGCAGTCCAATGAGCAAAACAGCTGGTTGTCATTGGTGCACCTGTTTCTTCGGAAGGCTTGAGGTGTCTTAACATTAGCCTTGTGATCCGTGCCTATTCACTGTGGAGCTGTTGTGTGTCTTTGGTGCTTTGGAGGTAACTAGCCGATCGACAGGGGCAACCTGCGATGTGCCTTTTCGCACGAGGCCCTTCAGAGATGTTAAGAAAAAATGTTCAGTTCAGGCATATGGGTCCTTTACGTGTCTCTGGTATTGGACTTGTGTCTCATAACTCGAAGAAAGAGCGACATTTAGTCCATTCTATTTTAACGCCCGATTTTACCAGTTCCTGGCCCTTTCATTGCCTTGCTTGCAAATGACATTGCTTGGCATCATGACAGATCACCCCCAACAGGTTGAGAACAGTAAAACACTTGACCGAAACCAATAAAACCTTCCCTCACACCTTCTCACAACAACTTCCTTGTAAAAAGCAGCCAAGATGGTATCTTGTCCTGGAGTGAACATCGATAGCCGTCTCTGAAGGTGGAACGCCATGCGCCCATTCTTGGCATCATAACGTTTTGCGATTTTCAAAGGCCACAGCACCAGGCCAGTGGTCTTATTCATTATAACCTCCATTCATCCAAACACGGGTTTTAATGCATCTTATTCCTAGGAGATGCAAAAATGGAAGAATGTTTCAGCCAAGCTTGGGACAGGGATTACAAATGATGGAAGTGTTTATGGCATCTGAAGCTTGTTTGAAGACAAAGTAGTAAAGCCAGCTCAGCATCCGTATGGTTGGATTGGCGTTCCCAGCTGGCACAAGCGGGCAGGGCACTCACCATACACGAAGAGCATGTATTCGGCCCTGCTGGTCCCGAGGTGGTTGCTGGCCTCACAGCGGTATGTGCCGTTGTCCGTCTTGTTGAGAGATGTGAAGGTCAGCTCCCTGCCTTCGACAATCATCCGGTCAATGTCAGGAAGCTCGCCTCCATCTTTTGTCCATAGCACAGAATCGGGTCTATGGTTCCAGGCAACATTAAGACCACCATTTAATCAATATGCCTGTATTTAGTTGTATAGTGAATTTTATATATAAATATGGCGTTCACATATACACTCAATGGCCACTTTATCACGGAGACTACCTTGGTCATACAAACAGCGTATCATGTGGCTGCAACTGAATACATACAGGATGCAGGCAGGTTTAAGAGGTTCAGTTACTGCATAGCTAAGCAGTAGCGCAGCTAAAATGCGAGCGATGTCGAACATGGTTTTATTGTTGGTGCCAGACGTGGTGGCTGCAGTGTCTCAGAAATAATCACCCTGGGATGTCACTGTACTACAGAGTTTTTCATTTGCAGGCGATGGTTTGACACACACACAAAAACATTAGATAAGGGCCATTTCCGAGGCTTTAAACACCTTGTTATTGAGGACAGTCAGTGGTGAATGGCCAGACCGCGTCAAAGCTAACAGGCAGACCGCAAGTGCAAAAGTCACAGTTCAGTATTACAGAGGTGTGCAGAAATGCTCTGAACTTGTCACCCCTTGAGGTAGGAGCAGATTGGCACCGAAAAGCCACACGGTGATTTGCTGTCAAGCAACACGAATTTGATATTTTGCAGCTGAAAGCTGGTCCTACCAGATCTAGGTAGAGGTACCTGAAAAAGTGCCCATTGAGTGTGGTATTACTTTTAAACTACATTCAGAATAAAGGAATAAGTCTTTTGACTCTGAAATTTATATCATAAAAAGTACAGAGACTTATATTAAAAAGAGTATATGTATAAAAAGGATGGATTTAACTTATTTCTATAGCCAGCAGTTTTAATGACATTCAATTAGTCTTTTAGTAGTAAAACCTGAATATACCTGTTATTAACTTTAATCTACTTAGGCTGTTGAGTTCCTTTACGATAACCCTTATCGTTGTGAATTCCTGGTACGATTATCATGCGATGTGTCCATTCAATTTAAACTTTTGTCTGTTTTGTCTGATAATTAGTTTTAGGACTTTGAAACAAAAGCACACTCAAACTTTTTTTCCAGTATTTGACTGGGAAGAAGTTTAATTTAAAATATCCGCACATTCTTCTTCTGAAAGGTCAAAATGGTCGTTTAACATCATGAATTACCGTGTCTCTGTAATTACATGCCACATTGAAGTCCTTTCAAACATTAAGATATGATTTATCATTATTATTTAGGCACAGATTATAGAATGCCCTCAATGATTCATGATCCAGTTTGGCTAGCTGCACCAAAATACACTTGTGAATCTCCACCCACACAGGACTTTTAAAATTCAAAATCGCTTGTATTTGGCATGTCTACAATTCTCTCGATTAACTATATAAGAATTAATGATCTGCATCTTGTGAAATGTTGAGGTTCTGTAAATTTCTTTTTTTTTTGCCTTTTTACAATTTTCTGGGGTATTTGCAAGGTTTCAGTGAGTACGTAACTATGTGATAGTGCAAAATGTCGTTTGGCATAAGAGATTATGCTACACAGAGACATTATGTGTTGTTTGGCATGAGAAATTATACTACATAGAGATGTTACATAATGCGATTGTGGTCATGTGACACCCGGGTCATGTGACTTACAGTGGGTTTCCTTTGGAGACGCACTCCAGTTTTAAATACTCCCCCTCCTCTGGGAATGTCAGTGATGACGTGATGTCTACAAAGGGCGGATCTGTGAAGAGAAGGAAGAGGGTCACCAGGGGGTCAAGTTGGGTTGTCATCCCTTTCGCCAGAATTTGTGTCAGAACCGAGGACAACGACCTGATTTTACACCGGCCTCAATCAGATCATTTCCACAGATTCACCATTTATATGGGGATGTTAGGAGAAGGAGGAGGGGCGGGTCATTCCAGGATAAATTTAAATACCTTATAATGCAATTTTCTACCCCTAGAAGGAGAACAGAAGACTAGCCTCTGAAAGGTTCCATTTTGGCTGGATTTTGAGACATCGTCAGCGTGATGCCACAGCCGATAGGCACCACCCATACCTGACGGTGGCCTTGTAGCATTTTGACGCGCATAAGAATTTTAACGCACGTAACTGTGCCTCATGCCAACTTTCTGCTACGCCATTTCCAGACACCATAGTATTGTCCACTCGCTTCTCCCTTTCGCTACTGCCGAAACCACGTTTCTGTATGTTTTCATCTGTGCTAAGGTGATTTCTGTTATATTACTCGAGGGACTTGTGTTAGGAAGTCACAGCAAGGCCAGCTGCCAGTCGCCATTGGGTTTCCCCACACGTGGCCGGGGTACTCACAGTGCACCTCCAGGACCTCGGTGGTCTGCTGTGGTGAGGAGGACAGTGCCACGTGCTCCACCCGGCAGGTGTAGGCCACACCGTCATCGTCGCGGTCCACCTGTAGCCTCAGGGTGCTGCTGACCGTGAACGTCTTTCCACTGGCATTCACTTCTTTGGCGCCTACGGCGTACCGAGAATGTTTTACAGAAGTGTTTTACATCCCAGAGGATCTCAGATGTGAATTCTCACTATTGCTTTGTTCAGCTCACATGGGAAACTGAAATAATGATTAAATGGTGTAAGATATTCCCTGGCTTATACCAAGAACAAAACAAAACATCGAGCCGATTCTACGCATGAATAAAAAAAGCACAGCTTAATGGAGAGATCTTACAAGATGCTTTTGTTTATTCAAGTAAACGTTTGCTGTGGGCTTGCACGTATAAGGAGTGCATTGTTATGCTAATTGAATTGGCACAGATGCGCGTCGTATGGATGTTCGGGGTGGGAGGAAGGTGTTTGAATGGTTGCCAAACAGCGGTTCTCCTCAATGCAAACCCCGGTGACGGTAATTCCGCCACACGGACCGGGAGAATCATCATGGAAAGTGCTGGGATCACGGATTTAACATGGAGATACCTACATCTGCCAGCTGTGAAAATCCCAGGCCCAGAGGAGCCCTTGAATCATCGCTTGGCACGGCGGTTGGCTCCTTTTCGGGTGGATCAGCAGCACATGTCCCTGCATACGCTCAGCAGGCTAATTTGAACCCGGATATCCACTGCGTGGGCCCTCTCCCCCTCATGCCTCACTGTACACACTATTCTCTACACATATTTTTTGACTGTATATTTATTGATCATTTTAGTGCATCTACCAACCCCCTAAACACCCAATTCGCATTTAGTTCTTCTTGGATTAAGGTAGTGTTTGGCTATTTTTAAACTCTACTCTTTTATAAAACTGAAGAAAAAAACTGTTTATTTATTTAATGCCCCCTTGCTTTTTTCCAATTTGGACTGGCCGGTGGTCCCAGTTCTTGCAGCTTCTCGCTTACAGTTAGCTTGGGTGCAGAGCAGACTGGCACCTCCTCTAACGGGAGTGGCGTCAGCCAGCTAGTTCCCCTCGCTCCGTGATATATCACGCGTGGGACAGGGCGCAATTTCACTGGATGCCACCGGCGGCCCCCTGCAGACGACCACCTGACACAGCACGATCAAATTTCAGTCCTGTGGGCTATTTTTGTTCATAGATGGGCAATCTGGCGCAATGAGGGTTTGGATCTAAAACCCCACTGTGGATTGCGGCTTTCCTTTGCCGGCTGCGTTACTCGGGGGACCCCATGACTAATGCTTGTTTTTCAGCTGGTTCCTTTCGGGGCTGTAACTGATCAAACGCTAAAGACAGCTGAGAGACTATAACTTTCACCGACGGATAGCTTAAGGGAGCATAAAGTATCACAGGATCTGTCAGCAATGGAGCGTGCAACTAAACGGGACCGATGTCACACGTTCCCTACATATTTTATCGTTATTATAGCTCCGCCCCCATGCAAATAGATGCACCGCTTCGAGGATTCGTCCCCTGTCCAATTCCAAGGGCATTTTGCAGCGTTTAACCTCTGATTGGAGATGAGAAGGAAACCGTATCCTTGGTATGCAGGGTAAAACACATAAATGAACATAAAACAAGGCCTGAGCTGTGGACTGCTGGGAGCTGGACCCGGGGTAATAGCCTATTTGAAAGCACTAAATGCCAAAGTCCCCATGAAATATTAAAAAAAAGATCAAGCACCGTGCCAGGAAATCACATCAGGTGCGATTCTGTACGCCCACCCGGAGACGCTGGACACAAAGTGTCATGGGTAATATTCCGATTTCATAATAAAGGCCTGTGACAATGTGTTTACATCCATATAATTCTATAGGAATCATATAGAAATGATTCAGTCTCTTCAAAACTGATTCTGAATTTTGGACATTATTTAGTGATTAAATTTCCTCATATAACTCATTTGTTTAATATTATAAATGGTAAAATTCTAATACTGGTGGAGTGTAGAAATATGTTTGGCATGACTGGTCATAGTTTTATTTGGAAGGCATACTGATATTGTAATGTGTAGCCTAGGAGATGATTGTCTGGAGAGAAAAAAACAGCTTCAATTTATAGTATATTTTAGATGTTTTATGAAGCATCTCTTTATAACAGAAATATTCTGTTTCACTCCATTTCACAAACAAACCCAATAAATGAAAATTATCTTGAGGGTCATTTTCTGCAGATCATAATCCATGATTACATTTCATCTTAATTATCAGGTTTGAGAAGGAGTGGTGTTGTCTAAGGAGGGGTGTGGTCTATATAGGGGTGTGGTCTATGGAGGGGTGTGGTCTATGGAGGGGTGTGGTCTTCTCCAGAGTGGAAGGGAAGCCTAGCTGAGCAGGGAGGACACAAGCACATTCTCATTACCTGTTCCTTGTTTATATGTACGACATAGTTGGTTGCTTCTAATTCTGCTCAGACACTGATGTCCATCCTTCAAGATTCAAGAGTTTGTCACATGCACAGTCCTTCCAGCAAACACAAATTAAACACAAAACACAGATCACAAGTACAAATGAAGGTGCTTACAGTAAAACAACAAATACAGTTACAATTATAACAATTAATATGCAGATATGGCGACATGCAACATACTGTGCAATGTAAACATAATGAGCAACAAAGATGTGATGTGTTTACAAAACTCTACCTATTTGTCTGATCCACTCTTTGCAATATTTGCATTATGTTTACATTGCACAGTATGTTGCAAAGAGTGGATCAGACAAATAGGTAGAGTTTCATTAATTATTGATTATTTTCCCTCTGTTTCTTGCCAAAATGGCTTTTCCTTGTTGGTCTTGTCCTGCTATTCTTAATCCAAACCCGCCTCACTCTTTCAGGTCACATGACTTTATCTACCCCCCCCCCCCCCCCCTACAACCACAGATAGGGCATTTGAGGTTGGGACGTCAACTTCTGCACAGTGGTTAATTAGCCCCACGTGGCACAAGGTGAGCCGTGATATGG